ACAATTGACTTATTTTTTCTTCTAATAACAAATTACTATAATCTAAAAAATCCTCCTCCACACTATCATCTTTTTTAACATTTTTACTTTTTTGTTTAGGAGGCATTTTAAGAAAATGTAGCTAGGTAGTATTTTATAAACAAATATTTGAATGGATATCTACAGTACTAATAAAAAAAAATACAAAAAACAAAAATAAGCGATTTTTCAAAAATTATTAAAATTCGTTAAGTCTTTTCTTTACACTTGAAAGTCTAAAAAAAAATCAAACTCCGCGCCGCCAAAAAATCGTTCTTTGAACCAATGGAAATCAAATAAAGAAAGATCTCACCAAATACTTCTATCTTCTCCTGTTGAAACTTGTCTGGCTAGTTACACTGCTATCCTAAGTCCGTCGTCTGATCTTGGCACCTGGAACTGCGAACTGAGCCCTTTGTATTTGGTATAAGTTATTAATATCACTTATTTCACTATAATTTATTTTTTTATTTCTCATCTCCTAATTATTTCCTGCTCTCGTTGGGGCCAAATATGCTCTGGTTTGCTCAGTCGGTGGGTTCAGGAATAATTAAGATTCTTCTCGATGAGAAAACACAACTTTTTATTAGAAAAATAATGAAAAATACATGTAAAACATATAAAACTGTGCCGGTCGTCAGGTACAGTGGTCTGCGAGACGGCCACAAGCGAAGTGCCAAAAAACATCTTAATTTGCCGAATAACCGGTCTGAATGCATTCTGCTCTCAGACGCTGACGTAATCGCCCTTGTCGCGCACTTATACCTGTCTATGAGCGTAACATTGGGTACCACTACAATAAAAATAAATAAAAATAAATAAAAATAAAAAATAAAAAATAAAAATAAATAAAAATAAATAAAAATAAATAAAAATAAATAAAAATAAATAAAAATAAATAAAAATAAATAAAAATAAATAAAAATAAATAAAAATAAATAAAAATAAATAAAATAAATAAAAATAAATAAAAATAAATAAAAATAAATAAAAATAAATAAAAATAAATAAAAATAAATAAAAATAAATAAAAATAAATAAAAATAAATAAAAATAAATAAAAATAAATAAAAATAAATAAAAATAAATAAAAATAAATAAAAATAAATAAAAATAAATAAAAATAAATAAAAATAAATAAAAATAAATAAAAATAAATAAAAATAAATAAAAATAAATAAAAATAAATAAAAATAAATAAAAATAAATAAATAAAAATAAATAAAAATAAATAAAAATAAATAAAAATAACTAAAAATAAATAAAAATAAATAAAAATAAATAAAAATAAATAAAAATAAATAAAAATAAATAAAAATAAATAAAAATAAATAAAAATAAATAAAAATAAATAAAAATAAATAAAAATAAATAAAAATAAATAAAAATAAATAAAAATAAATAAAAATAAATAAAAATAAATAAAAATAAATAAAAATAAATAAAAATAAATAAAAATAAATAAAAATAAATAAAAATAAATAAAAATAAATAATAATAAACAAAGGTCTATTTGATTGGACAAGGTATATGGAGATAAAAATTCCACAGATCACGTTAATTTTCAAATACCCAGCTAAATTGAGGGTACAAACAACGGGTTTTAATCGTTGTTGGTGCCAAGTAAGGAATTTTCACGAGGCTGAAAAAGTCAGGGCAGACACGCTTTGATAATCAAATAGTATACCAGTTGTTTTTATTCAATCTCAACGTCCACCATTTTCGGAATAATGAAACTCTAAAAAATATACCAAAAATATCTCGAGCGCTGTAAGTAGGTTAAGTAATGGTTTATAGGTTTAGAAATATTACTTGTTTGCTTTTTAGGCAAGTTATATTTTATGTTTTTAGTTTATATTTATATCAATATTATTTTTTACATGTACATTTGTGAGTTTTAGAATGAGGACAATAAAATTATATCTCAAATTGAATGATTGGCTTTATTCATCAAATATTTATGCAAAACCTAACTGATTATTTTAAATATGAGAATATTACATGTCGATCCTACCACTCAAGAACTAGTTAATAATAGACATATATTTTAAGATAGCTTAACTGAAGTTACTAAGAAAAACATTACAATAATTATTATTATTTAAGAAGATAATGGCTGGAGCTAATCAGTCAAAAGAAGAGTTGATTATTACACAAGCCGGAAATAGTGGTGGCGTTCCTAATTCAACTGACAATGGTGATGTTTCGGCCTTATGGGAGCTGTAGCATTGGCATTAGTTATAATTATTATTGGAGCAGTTTTATACAAGCGATGCAGAAAAGCCATAGAAATAAAAATTAGGTCCCAGGATATTGTCTAAAAGAAGAGAGAAGGAATCTTATTTTTTTTATTTTAGGTGAAGAAAGTTGCTAGTTGTTTTTAAAGAATGGAAAAAAATATATAAAATGTAACAAAACCTTTTTTTTTTTTGATTTTATAATATATAATAATGTATGTAAGTGATATTTATTTTGCCTTATTTTTGTGTACGTAGGATAATATTGCATATAAATGTCACTAGAATCATTTAAGGATATTTATGAAGACCTTACTGTGCTTTTAAGGAATCTTAATAAAGATTCTATAGATAGGCGTTATAATTTAGAAATAACTAACAAATCATTAGATAAGTTAAATAGTATAGAAGCTGAATTTACTTTGCTTAGAAATATATTTAACGAAGGTCCTTTAATTAATAAATGCTACTGAATTTATTGCAAAAAAAAAACCAAACGAAAAACTTTTAGGCAAACCACTATTTAGTAAAACCACTCCAGTCAGCCAGTTCCACAAGGGCGACTGGTTTTGGCCAGCCCAATGATGCGATTTTAAACGTTTCCCTACCCACTAGTTCTATGTGCTGTGTTTACGCGTAACTTGCGTTTAAGTTTAAGTTAAGATTAGCATAGGTCATAGTAGAATAGGTAGATAATAGGGTAGATTAGTAACTACAGTAGATTAGAGTTAGAATAGAGTAGTAGTAGAATAGTGTACATAGTTAAGCGTAGAATAGATTAGAAGTAGAATAGTATAAATAATTAAGCGTAGAATAGTAATAGAATAGATTAAACTAATTTAGGATAGGGTATAATAGTAAATAAAATAAGTTAAAACAGTTAAGAATAGAATAGTTTAGAATAAAATCGTTTAGAATAGAGTAAACTAGTTTAGAATAATTTACCATAGGGTAGGCAAGGAAATAGAATAGGTTAGAATAGTTTAGAATAGTGTAAAATAGGGTAATTTAGACTAGTCCAGGTTTAGGCATAATAAAACCCGTAACAATGGTACATTCTTTTTTCTTTCGAAATAAACTTCCTACATTTTAAAAATTACACTCAGAAATAGAAAATAGCCCCACTCTGCTAAATATATCATATTTTCATCTGCAAAAAATATTACATGAATTCAATTTTCGTTACAAAAAAAGTTATATAAACAGCATTTTAACAGAGAAATAGTTGACGCAAGGAATCAGCACAAACAGGTATTTTATTTAGATGAAACATGGGTTAATGCTGGACATACAGTAACAAAAATTGGACAAGATAACTTCATCAAAACTACAAGCCTTTATGGATGGGGCCTCTCGTGGATTAAAAAAATCCAACAGGAAAAGAAAATCGTTTAATAATATACCACATTGGAAATACCAATGGATTTTTGCCAGATGGTTTATTAATGTTCAAGTCAAAGAGAACAGAAGACTACCATGAAGAAAAGGATGGCTCTATGTTTGCAAATTGGTTTCAGAATATTATAAAAAAAAATCCAGCAAATTCCGTTATCACAGTCGATTAGAGGAGTCACTACCTACAACAAGATGAAAATAAGAAGATATTTCAAAATGGCTTCATTCTAAAAATATTATCAGTCCTTCTAAATCCTTGAAGGTAGAATTACTGGTAATAGCAAGGCAATATAAAAACAAATTTAAAAAATATATTATAGACGAGATGGCCTGAGAAAAAAGGAATTGAAATTCTCAGATTGCCTCCTTACCACGCAGGGTTAAATCTCATTGAACTAATCTGGTTTCAATAAAAAGGTTTATTTTTATTTTTTGTAAATAATATAACTTTTTTCATTCAAAATTTAATATACGAAGTGCGTACGTACCATTTTATATGCCGTAACCTTATTTATGATATAAAAATTTATTTTGCAAAGTACGCCTATTGAATGTGACCTTTACTGTACTCCTCTTTTATTCAGACTGTAGTATTGAACATAGGTACATTTAAAATTTCGTAGTAAATTAGGTTAGTATAAAAATGCTGATTATTCTTGTAAGATTAGCTGCATTTGGATATATTAAAAAAACTCATTTTTCATTGTCGAGTTTTTTTTAAGTGTGCATTTAAATTATGTCTAAGTATATTATACCTATTCTATAACTATCTGCATATTATGTTTATTAATATTTAACTTTTATTTTCCAAAATCATATAGTTTTTTAACCTTATGCTGTAAATAATAAATCATAAATATAATTGTTATTTCTACCAATAGATTTATTTTATGAACTCATTTTAAGATCCATGAATTAACTATTTTATTATTTATAATAATTACATGAGATTATAAACTTCTTGTATCTTCGAACAATAGTTACTAACAATCGTAATATTTGTACCGTAAATTGTAGGTAGAGATATATAATTTATCGGCTAACTATAAATTCTAATAAAAGTATGACATGGAAATGTACACGTTCAGTTTTTAATACTAGATACCTTTCATTGTCCAGCAGTATTTTTTTTATTATTGATTAACAAAATGTTCTCTTTTTTGATTAAATGTATTATTTCTGCTTCTTATTTATTTTATTTATTATAAACACTGAATATAAAAATTACTAATTTTTTGTGTTATTTTCTCTTAATTTTAAAAGTATTAAAAAACCTAGTAGGATTCTATATGGAATTATTTTAAATTTGGCAGATATTTTTATTTTCAAAAATATGTAATTTTCACTCACCCTTTTCGCAATATTCTCCCTCGTAATCTGGATTCCGACACTCACAAATGGGGCCGCTGTCCGTCGAAATGCAGATGCCCCCGTGTTGACAGGGGTCTCTAGTTTCACACGCGTCGCTCGTACTATTTCCCCGCATAATCTGCAATAAAAAAATAATCAATATTAAAAATCGGTTTGCCAAACAACAAGAATGTCGTAGAAAAAGTACCGTCAAGCGGGGCTAAGAGGACCAAATTTGCAAGAAAAAGTTTTTAAATGGGGACTTTTTATTGATTTCGAATTTGATTATGTTGCTGCCAGTCCAGATGGAAATTAAAACAAAAACAAAACTCTGTGATATAGTTAAAATGTTCATATGGAGCTAGAGTGCTGACTCTGGAAGAAGACATATGCAGTAGAGAAATAACTTTTGTAACGGTTGGAACCATTATTTCGTTATTTCGACACAATCACTTCTAACTCAAATGTCATTTGTCGTTTATGCCTTGTGTCAAAAGTTTCCATTTTTCATTTCATTTGAATATATCAAATATTTATTTTAATTTATTTTGGTCATTTGATGTAATAAATTATTTTTATTTATCTTAAAATCCGTCTGATTTTGTAAGTTTTAATAATAATATATTAATAAATATATATATGGGAAACTTTTAAATAAATTGTCAAGTTTTAAACATAATCTCAATATCAACAATGAATAGCACATGGTTAGTTTTATATAAAATTATATATGATTTTTTTGGAATAAGATGTTAGCTTTACTATGTTTAAATCAAAGACATTACAACTAAGAGACCAAACTGTTTACATTTTTATGTGGCAAATCATTATTCCCACCAGATTCTCGTTTATTGCGTCTTTGCCGATTTTATCAGTCTGTCAAAATTATTTGGAGAAATTACTTTCGAAAAATAAAATTTGATGTGTCCTGTAACTATAATTTTATATTATATAAATAAAAATATTTTTTTAATCAAATTATTCTTTGAAGTTTTAATATAAGCTAAATTTTTTATTAAAAAATGAATATTAATCTAAACAAAATATTAGGGTTTCGAAGAACTCCGTAAATACGGCAACGCTGATTATCTTATTTTACGAATTTACAAATTTTATGAATGAAATGTAGTACCGTAACCAGCCGCAACGTTGCCAATCAGGTCTAATAGCTATTTTGTATTTCTGGCAGTTTCTGTGTGACTTATTGATTTATTCATTTATAAAATACTATTTTTGTGAACTTTTGTGAAAAATATAAAGAATTATGGTACATGCATGTGTAGTGTTCAAAAAGGTAGATCATTTAAGTCGAAATGTATGGTTTCATCGGTAAGTATTTTTAGGTTAAGATATGTTGTTTTCATTTGAACCAGTAGAGTAGGGCTTGTATAAGATTTGATACAATTTCTTATAGAATATAAATTATATAGGATCACATAGTAAATTTTTTGAAAAATGATTATCCAATCTAATTTTTCAGACAATTTACTGCAGGTTTGATAATATACAATTTAAATTGTACAAGAAATCGTATCAAAAACTTGTGTAGTCTAAAACAGTTTTTAAAGTGATATTTCTTTTATAAATTAGTAAATTTTTCTTATACCAATAAATAATTATTGAATAGTGGCAAAGAAAATTTAACGTTAAATACTTAAAAAATGATTTACCCATTGAGCACCTATACATATTTTTTATTAGACTTCCGGCAACCGACTTAAATATGTACTTAGATAATTTAGAAATAAACCTAAATTCTATAGAATATCAAAATCTAGAAATATATGTAGGTGATATAAACATCGATATACTAAAAAAAGAAACTAACGAAACAAACAAATATTTAAATATAATGAATTTCAAAGGTTTTAAATCATATATAAATAAACCAACGAGAGTACAAAATGAGTCAAAAACTGCCATTGATCATATTTTTATTAGAACTCATAAAAAACTAATAAAAAACGTCGAACTTGAGCCAATTATATTTCACACAGATATGACAGATCACTATTCTCCTTTTATACTAATATCTTTTCCTACACAAAAAAATGAGGAACCCCAATCAATAAACAAAGTGACCATAATAAATTTTGATAATCTAAAACATTGTTTAAGCAGAGAAAATTGGAATGATGTAATTAATACGGCTGAACCACAAAAAGCATACGATTTATTTTTCAATAAGCTAAATCAACAAATTCAAAAATGCACCAAATCTACAATTAAAACAAAAAATATAATTAAACTGAAACCATGGATAACAACAGGTTTAATACTTTCAATAAAAAATAGAGACTTTCTAAAAAAAAAACTAACAAAAAAATACACTCTAGAACTTGAAAACCAGTATAAAAATTACAGAAACAAACTTCATTCCTTAATAAGAAAAACAAAAAATGACTATTATCAAAATAAAATTACACAAGCCGGAAACGATTATAAAAAAATATGGAAAATCATTAATGACATAACAGGTAGTACAAAAAAAACTAAGCAAATTGAAAACATATCTATAAAATCAGAAAATAATGATAATATAAACAATAACAAAGAAAAAGCCGAAGAGTTTAATATTTTTTTTACAAATTTAGGTGAAAATATGGCAAATAAAATACATAAGGTAGTACCAGCAGTAAACTTTCTTAAAAATGATAAAGTTGAAAACAACATATTCTTTAAACCCGTAACAAAAAATGAAGTAACTATTTTAATAATCAAATTAAAAAATAGCTCTGCACCTGGTCCAGATAAATTAACAGCAACTACAATAAAAAATATAAATGAATATATTATTCTTCCTGTAACGCATATCCTTAATATTTGCTTTCAATCAGGAAAAATTCCAAGTCAATGGAAGGAATCAATTGTCACACCTGTATACAAATCCGGAGACCCTAGTGAGCTTACAAATTATAGGCCAATTTCTGTTATCAACAACTTCGCTAAAATTTTTGAAAATGCAGTAAAAAGTAGATTAATTAATTTTTTTCATAATCATAATGTTATTACAGATTGTCAATACGGTTTTATACAAAACTCAAGCACTGAAAATGCGGTAGTTGATTTTTTGGAAAAGACGGTTAACGCTGTAGATGAATCATTAAAATGTGCTGCAGTATTTCTTGATTTGGCCAAAGCATTTGATACCGTTTCCCATAACATTTTACTTGACAAACTAAATAACTATGGCATACGGGGTTTAGCATTAAGGCTCCTGAGGGATTATTTATCTAATAGAACCCAGAGCGTAAAAATTGGCAATACCGGAAGTTCTAAATCAGTAGTAAAGATGGGGGTCCCACAAGGAACAGTATTGGGCCCAATTCTGTTTCTGGTTTATATGAACAACATTACACAAATTAATAACTTATCTGGGAATATCATATGCTATGCGGATGATACGGTAATTATTTTCGCTGGAAAAGAATGGGAAGAGGTTAAACTCGCTGGAGAAACGGCCCTAAGAAAGATAAGTTTATGGTTAAATAACAATCTACTAACTTTAAATGTATTGAAAACAAAATGCATTACTTTTAGTTCAACCATCGTTAATCAACCTAACAGCTTTTGTATAAAATTGCATAGTAGTGACTGTCAAAAAAGCGATTGTAACTGCCCCTTGATAGAAAAAGTTTCTCAAATTAAATACCTAGGTGTAATACTTGATCAATACATACGGTGGTCAGAGCATATTGTCCATGTTAGTAATAGACTGAGAGCCCTAATGCACAAATTTTATGTTCTCCGGGACATTCTTTCAAAGAAAAATATAATGATACTTTATAACTCCCTAGTGGAATCTATATTAAGGTATTGCATAGTAGCATGGGGTGGAGCATTTAACACCACTATTAAAATTGTAGAGACAACACAAAATATTATTTTAAAAATTATCCTAAAAAAAGAGAGACTATTTTCTACAAATAAATTGTACGATGAATCAAACATACTAAACGTCAAATTACTCTTTGCTTATCAATGTATAATGAGAATATATACCAATGCTGAAAATTTTACTCAAAAAAATACCCGCTTAACACGCTCAGTCGCTAATATGGAGATTCCTGTACAATTTTTCAAAAAATCACTTAGTCAAAGGTCATTATCATTCTTTGGCCCAAAATTTTTTAACATAATTCCGATACACCTCAGGCAAATAATCAAAACAAAAAAGTTTAAAATTGAAATAAAAAAATATTTAATAACAAACAAAAAAAAAATTTACGATCTAATGATAACATAGTATAAATAAAAAACATATTAAAAGCCAAAAGGACCATCGTAGTTTTTGTCTACTTTTCCTAAGGTACTGTCTCTTGTTTATTTATCTTTTTATTTATCGGTTTATTCTGTCGAATTTCTTCGTCCCTTGTTCTAATTTTTAAATATTGTATCTTTTGTTAAGTAATAAATAATTATATGTAAAATTTAATACCTGTCTCTAAAAAAAATATGTACATAAATAGAGTCATCTGATTGATCAGAAGCAAAACAGGCAGAAATGCCTAGGTTCCATGCTCAATCAGATGTCTTTAAAGAATTTTTTTTATTTGTATAACTATTTTTTTACTATTAGGTAATGTACTTTAATATTTAAACAAATAAATTTGATTTGATTTGATTTGATTTGATTATTCTATTTAGGTTTTCGCAAGATCCTAAGAAAAGAAAACTTTTGTTTTCTCTAATAGGAATCCTTGAAAATTAGCCCCTTCGTAAAAACCCAGAGTTGTGTTTAGAACACTGTTTTCCTGAAAATGTTTTGGTACGTGCAAATGGTACTAGATATATTAGAAAAGATGCAAACTCCAGACGGTGTGAGGGCTTTCTATTTTTGGATGACTTATCCAACAGGTAAAAATACAAAATATTAATTTTTTATTTACCTCTAAACATTATTTATTACCTATATATATGTATATCTAATGTGTGGGTTTTTAGTTCTGATTCAACTGTTTTTGGAACACCACCTTCTGCAAAAAAAACATTGCAGTAAGTTATAACATTAATAACTAAGCATAAAAAAATTAAATGAAATTTTAGTTAATAAAATTAAAGTATTTTATATATTACATTATAACATTATTTTAAAAATTTTAACAGTTTTTTTACGATATTTTTTGCCATACCATGTTT